GTTTTTTTTTTTTTATATTTACTCTTATTAAAAGTTGAGAGAGAGAGGAGGAGGGGATAGATTGCATAAGAAATGAAAAGTTGAGAGAGAGATGGAGAGAGAGATTAATTAATTTTTTATTAAATTAATAGGGGTAAAATTGAAAAAAGATTATCAATTTTATTACAAGTGACTTATATTTTGAAACAAACTTTTAAAGTACAAGTGACTTATAATAAGGAACAGAGTGGTATTTTATTAAACTTTGTTTGTCTATGGTATTTAAGTACTCCTCCGGTCCTTAATATAGGACCCAGTTGTTGAGTTGGTTTTAGTTCTAAATATATGACTCATTTCTCATATTTATCAATTTTCTTTAAATTATCCTTATGGATACTCCCTCAACCATAATCAAGTAGAAGAGAGAAGGGGTATTAAAAGAGATGATTATGGTGTTTTAGGAAAAACATATCACATTTCTTATAATTAACTAACTTACCTAACTTTCTTAATCTAATCAAATTAGTTAAATGGGTCTTATATTAAGAATCGGAACAGTATTAAGCATAGCATATATAATTTAAAGAGACATCCTTCCCCTCCACACACACACATATATATACTTGGGCTGGTAGTAAGATAGTCTCCATTATTTTTGTATCTTTAGTTTCTTCTTTTTAATTCTAGTTTCATTGAATTTGTTTGTTTGTTTTAATTTTTTTAGGTCACACCTTAAACAAAAGCATTCATACTCATATGGATCTTCAACCTTCAGATTGTCTCATAAAAAAAGTATTTTATAGCATCAACTCTCCTACTTTCATCTCAATTATAGGGAGCTTCTTCACTCCCTCAATACCATAGGCTTGAGGAAAAAAACCATAGGCCTGAATGAGAAGAAGAACCAGGAGCAAAGTCATTTTTGAAATTTTCTCATTACGTCGGAAAATCGGCTCCTACCATCTTTTTGGGGAAAAAGACAGAAAAATGCGCCTTTAACTTCAGAAGCCCAAAAACGTCCGCTGAATTCAAGAAATCCCATTTTGGTACCATGAGACCAAATTGGGATTATTATGTGAAAAGAAAAGACTGAATTGCCCTTCATTTTAAATATTATTTTTAAAATATCACAGCCCTTATTGGCCGGCCGGTCACCGGACCTCCGGCGGCGACTGTCACCGGAGCTCCGTCGGTCGGGATTTTTTTTTTTTGAAAATTTTTACAACTTCAATATAACGGGTAACAACTTTTATAATGCGATTAACAACTTTAGTATAGCAATTAACAACAACTTTTCTGGAAAATTCAACAAACTTCGGCGACCGGAAACAATTTTTTTGAAAATTTTTACAACTTCAATATAACGGTTAACAACTTTTGTAATGCGATTAACAACTTTAGTATAGCAATTAACAACAGCTTTTCTGGGAAATTCAACAAACTCCGGCGACCGGAAATAATTTTTTTGAAAATTTTTACAACTTCAATATAACGGTTAACAACTTTTGTAATGCTATTAACAACTTCATTATAGCAATTAACAACAGCTTTTCTAGGAAATTCAACAAACTCCGGCGACCGGAAACAATTTTTTTTAAAATTTTTACAAATTCAATATAACGGTTAACAACTTTTGTAACCCTATTAACAACTTCAGTATAGTGATTAACAACAGGTTTTTGAGTTTGTTAAAGGCATTACTGAAGTTATAAAAAAGTCACCTTTTGAATTTTTCGAAAAACTTGTTGTTAACTGTTATATCAAAATTGTTAACCGTTATATTGGAGTTGTAAAAATTTTCAAAAAAACGTAATTGTTAACGTTATACTGAAGTTGAAAATTTTTACAACTTCAATATAACTGTTAACAACTTTTATAATGCCATTAACAATTTCAATATAGCAATTAACAACAGGTTTTCTGGGAAATTCAACAAACTCCGGCGACCGGAAACAATTTTTTTGAAAATTTTTACAACTTCAATATAACGGTTAACAACTTTTGTAACCCTAGTAACAACTTCAGTATAGCGGTTAACAACAGGCTTTTGAGTTTGTTAAAGGCATTACTGAAGTTATAAAAATACCACTTTTTGAATTTAAAAACTTATTGTTAACCGTTATATTGGAGTTGTAAAAAATTTTAAAAAAAAGTAATTGTTAATGTTATACTGAAGTTGAAAATTTTTACAACTTCAGTATAACGGTTAACAACTTTTATAATTCTGTTAACAACTTCAATATAGCAATTAACAACAAATTTTCTGGGAAATTCAACAAGCTCCGGTGACTGGAAATAATTTTTGTTTGAAAATTTTTACAACTTCAGTATAACGGTTAACAACTTTTGTAACGCTATTAACAACTTTAGTATATCAGTTAATAACAGATTTTTTTGAAAAATTATATAACTCAAAAACTTGTTGTTAACCGCTATACTGAAGTTGTTAATAGGGTTACAAAAGTTGTTAACCGTTATATTAAAGTTGTAAAAATTTTCAAAAAAATTGTTTCCGGTCACCGGAGTTTGTTGAATTTCCCAGAAAAGCTGTTGTTAATTGCTATACTGAAGTTGTTAATAGCATTACAAAAGTTGTTAACCGTTATATTGAAGTTGTAAAAATTTTCAAAAAAATTGTTTCCGGTCGCCGGAGTTTGTTGAATTTCCCAGAAAACCTGTTGTTAATTGCTATATTGAAGTTGTTAATGGCGTTATAAAAGTTGTTAACCGTTATATTGAAGTTGTAAAAATTTTCAACTTCAGTATAACGTTAACAATTACGCTTTTTTTAAAAATTTTTACAACTCCAATATAACGGTTAACAACTTTGATATAGCAGTTAACAACAAGTTTTTCGAAAAATTCAAAAGGTGGCTTTTTTATAACTTTAGTAATGCCTTTAACAAACTCAAAAACCTGTTGTTAACCGCTATACTGAAGTTGTTAATAAGATTACAAAAGTTGTTAACCGTTATATTGAAGTTGTAAAAATTTTCAAAAAAAATTGTTTCCGGTCGCCGGAGTTTGTTGAATTTCCCAAAAAAGCTGTTGTTAATTGCTATACTGAAGTTGTTAATAGCATTACAAAAATTGTTAACTGTTATATTGAAGTTGTAAAAATTTTCAAAAAAATTGTTTCCGATCACCGGAGTTTGTTGAATTTCCCAGAAAAGCTATTGTTAATTGCTATATTGAAGTTGTTAATAGCATTACAAAAGTTGTTAACCGTTATATTGAAGTTGTAAAAATTTTCAAAAAAATTGTTTCCGGTCGCCGGAGTTTGTTAAATTTCCCAGAAAAGCTGTTGTTAATTGCTATACTGAAGTTGTTAATCGCATTACAAAAGTTGTTAACCGTTATATTGAAGTTGTAAAAAAAAATTTTAAAAAAAATTCCGACTGACGGAGCTCCGGTGACCAATTGTCGGCTGGTCGCCGGAGCTTCGGTGACCGCCACCGTCGGAGGTTAGGTGATCGGCCGGCCAATAGGGGCTGTGATATTTTAAAAATAATATTTAAAATGAAGGGAAATTTGGTCTTTGCCTTTCACATAATAATCCCAATTTGGTCTCATGGTACCAAAATGGGATTTCTTGAATTCAGCGGACGTTTTTGGGCTTCTAAAGTTAAAGGTACATTTTTCTGTCTTTTTCCCATCTTTTTGTGTATAAATGAACAAATGGCCTAAACAATGTTAATTATGTAGACTTGTTGTAGGTATCATGGATAAGCCAGCACTTAATTATACATGGTAACAAAAACACGTTCTAAGAGAGTTTTATACACATGATTGGTTGATTCAGATTTGCAATTGTGGCCCAGCCGAACGTGGCTTTCAAAAATTAAGTAATATCACTAAGGGAAAATTACACTCAGGTTCCACAGAGCACATTTAATATTAAAAAGGTCCCTCAAAATCGCGAAATGATTCTGAAGTCCCCAGGGACCTGTGTGTAATTAATTCTAATTGTGAAATTACCTACTTACCCCTGTTAATTTTATTGCAGCAATTCGTTTACAATCTCAACAGTGGCTGTTAACAATCTGAGAAGACGTGATTGACAACCTCGGCAGTGTTTACGACAACTCACTCAGTGGAATGCCAGGGGCGTTGTTGAGGTTGTTAACCACCTCTTCTCGGATTGTTAACAGCCACTGTTGAGGTTGTAAATAGGTTCTAATTTTATTGCAACAATTCGTTTACAATCTCAACAGTGGCTGTTAACAACCCGAGAAGACGTGATTGACAACCTCGGCAGTGCTCATGACAACCCACTCTGTGGAATGCCAGGAGTGTTGTTGAGGTTGTTAACCACCTCTTCTCGGGTTGTTAACAGCCACTGTTAAGGTTGTAAATAGATTCAAATTAACAGGAGTAACTATGTAATTTCACAATTAGAATTAATTACACACAAGTCTCTGGGGACTTCAGAATCATTTCGCAATTTCAAGGGACCTTTTTGATATTAATTATGCTATGTGGAACTGAGTGTAATTTTCACTATCACTAAATGAAGAAACTTGCAAGAAAAGAAACCTAAGGGTCCTTGCCCAACCGAAAGCATTTTGCGCTGTTACTTCCACTCTGAGGTTACGTATTTCATCAGCTAACCTTTGATTTGGCGTTCGGCTTTTTCAATTTTTATTTTGTTTTGTTATGGGCAAACAGTTTTTTTTATTGGAGATATTTTTATTCGAGGCAACCATAAATACGAATTTATCTTTTATATAAGAATTTGAATTCTGGTTTGTCTTTTTTTTAATTTTGTTATGAAATAGTAAACCATCTAGTTTTTGCCCTTTTTGAATGAAAGGGTATGTCTGTGTATCACCCTTCTAAATCATATGATCAGTTCCTTATTATTCCTTCTAGTCCTATATATAACCTCCTTTCATGTAAGGTCAGACTACTAATACTTTTTTTTCTTTACTATGTCAAGTTTTTTTTTATTAGATTTGTTTGAGATATTATTAAATGCTAAATATATATTTTTTTAATATTATAAGAGACTAGTTTTTTTAATTAAACTCAATCATTGTTGGTCATGCTACCAACACTTGGATTCAATTGAATTAGAATATTATACAGTGGCTTTCTAATTTCACTCGGAATTCGGAAAACAAAACAGAGGCCAACCCATAAGTAACGACGTCGCATGCACTTGTACTATTTTTGCAGTCATACACAGTAAGAGAGGGGAGAAACGAAAGACCCGACCCGACCCGACCCAAGTGAACCGTGTTTGAAACAATTGATTTAAACAGGAAAAAGAACAAATCAAAAGAACACAAACAAACACCATAGAAGAATGAAAAACCCACCCAGCAGATTCATCCCATATAACTGGATGTTTGCATTTAACAAAAAAAAACGGAGAAAGAAAAGGAAACGAAAGATCTATCCCGTATAGATGTGAACTCCAATGGCTATGAGGAAGATGGTTATGAGGCCGAAGAAGAGAATTGCGTGAACTAAAATGGAGACGCCACTGGTGTGCATGCTCCCAAACTCCACAATTCTTCCTCTTCCTGGTAACTGAAACAGAAGCCCTGGACTTAGCAGTACGAACAGAACCACTGCTATCACCACTGGTCCCCAATCCGCCATTAATGTCACCTTTTAAGCTCTCTCTCTCTCTTCTTTCTCTCTCTATCTCTTTTGTCAATGAACGAATTATATCAGAGCCAGTAGTGGTTGTGAGCTATATAGGAGATTAAAGTTACGTCTCTGTGTTTGAAACTTGGAAGGAAGGAATGAGATGCATGAGATCAGCATCCACTAAATAAAGAGACAGATCAATGCGAGGGATGATGAATATTAGTTGTTTGTTTGTTTGGTTTATGGTTTGCTTTGTTGGAAAGAAATTGTGAGAGTGGAGGTCGTAATCAGATGCTAGCTTCAATAGGAACGTGCCAAAAGGAAAGAAATGATACGACTTGTTGGATTATGCAGAATCAAGCAATTGAAAATTTGAAAGGGCATTTTGAAAAAATCTCTCTTTGAAGGTTAAGAATCTGCAGATCACGTTTGTGAGAGAATTGGATTCCACAGCTAATAGGCATGCAATGGCCTAGCTGGTGAATAATGTGTCTGTCACTCCTAAAAGATAAATTCCTTATGTTTTTTCTTCACTTCTTTGACTTGCAATTTTTCCCCTTTGAGTTCTTTTAACCTTTTTTTCTGGATGGGAAAGAAAATTCACATACCCTCTACTACAAAAGACTCGAATCAACGAATCGGAAGGACCAAACAGTCACTGGACGCAATAACGGCTCAATTTGTACCAAAAAATTATTTTCATGGTTGAGCCGGCTTAGGCCAGACCAAAACACAATTAAACTGGGAATCGGAACGGATTTAAAAATTTGGACAGCCTTTTAGATATCACTGTAAATGCTAAAAGAATTAATAAAAACCTTAATTTTTTTGAAAAAAAATTAACCCTCCCAAAAAGTCCAATATATTTTCAGTCAAGTTATAGTCATATGGTTATTTTATTGAAAAATTCACGTATTGTGATGTTATGATGCCGACAGTTAGATATACTGTGAATCTATTTCTAATGTATATTATTATATAATGCACATAATTATTTTATTACTTATTGGATTATGAGAACCATAAATCATTAGTCTTTTCATTTTAATGTGGAGTCCAACTTTTTAAAACATTCAATGAAACGCATAGCCTCACCCATTGGGAAGTGCATCTTATGCCACTAAACCATGAAGTCTTTGGCTAACTTCTTTTTAACCATTTGGTTTCTAGTTGCTGCTTGTGTGTGAGCAGCTCGTATTAATTTTGTATTTTATAACAATACCCATGTTGTAATTTAATGAATCATGATCGTTAATATGGGATTTTTTGTAAAAAATAATGAAACACTATGATTTCTGTCTAAAAACTATCATTTATTATTATCCATCTCATCTTATTTAAATATATTAATTTTAAACATTATGATTTTTTATATCTAACTAAATTTAATTATTTTTTAATAAGAAAGCGCTAAATTGTATATCAAGAACCTTTTGATTTATTGGCACCAAGAGGAGGGGTGAGTGGGTGTGTGATTAGAGTCGAGAATGTGGGTTGGACCCTCGGGTCGGACCCGCCAACCCATCGAAAATGGTGGGTTAGGCCAACCCGCCACCACCTGAAAAATATGAGCCCACGCTGTCACAGGCCGAACCTGCCGCAGGTTGGCGGATTCAACCCGCCTAATTTTTTTTAATATATTAAAATATCTAGAGGAGGTGGATTGGAATTCTGGAAAGGCAAGAAAACTGAAGTCCTACTGGCTACTATTGTCAAAATCAACATTGAGCCAACTTCAAATGTCATCACCATTAGAGATGATTAGATCAAAATGGTTATTCATTGTTGCATGTTGATTTTACTGGAAAAATTTATGTTTGAACTTGTGTTTTTATCATTTTTGAAGTTTAGACTTTAGACAATCGTATAGTTTGTGTTTTAATGTGTTGTAATTTTATTTAAATGCTTGGAATTATTTAAATCATTTTTTATTTTTTTATTTTTTGATTATTTATAAGAAAAATTAAAAAAAAAACTGGTGGGTTAGGGTTGGCAAAATACCATACCGCCAGAAAATGAGCATTTTGAGCCTGACCCGTATAACTAGCAACCCGCCACGGGCCAACCCGCAACCCGCGGGTTGGCCCGTTTTACTAGCCTTATGTGTGATGTATGTAGATAAAAGAAAAAACTATTATTATACAAGGATGTCTTCGCTTTCTTTCCTTCCATTTTTTTTCTCAGTTTTTATTTCAATCATAAGATTACAATTGAATGGTTTAAATTTCATATTTTATAAAAATTATGAATAAAATGTTAAATTTTCCCAAAAAAAACAAATAAAATTAAACTACTGAATTTTACCATGGTAATTTGAAACAATAATAAAAATACTTTATTAAATTATTTTATATAATACAAAATTTAAACCTTTCAAATTGCAAATTGAGAATTGAGATAAAAAGCGGACCAAAACAAAATGGACAGGTACGGAGCTCCTTTCCCAATAGTAGCTAGGGCTGCTTATTGTTATTTAATAAGGAATAAAAAATCAGACCAGACACTAAATCGGTTGAGGTAGTGATTCAAGGGTTAGTACGTCAAATGGGGTCAACTCATGTCAAACTAGTCATATTAAAATAATATAATTTAATTGAAAATAAAAAATACCACAACAATAATCACAAATAACAAAATACAAGGAAATACAACAATAGTTTAATTGTAACAATAACAAAGTACAATAATATTAAGAATTTTGATCTTTACGATTTCTCAATAACTAAAATTAATGATTATTGATACCAAAATTATGATTAAGATATTGAGAGCTAAATAAGAAAAAATCGGACAAATAGCAACATAATCATTCAAATTGGTTCATCCTAATTTGACCGGGTTGATACTGTTTCAATTCCTGGCCGGTCCGACGCTTAAACTAGACTAGATCACTGACTGGCTTTCCAATTGAATTAGTCAATTCGGTCTGGTTTTTTTTCCTTGCTATCTAATCAAAATTTATAATATTTAATTTTAAATTAATTGTAACATCAAATTAAAAGAAAACGGTACTTGGATACAAATCTTGGATTTTTAACGTCTTCCTTTTCTCATTAATAATAATGAAGTGTTATGTTTTCAACCACAGTTTTCTTTCTGCCTTTTATAGTTCTCTCAAAAAAAAAAACGAGATACAAAAAGGAAATCTGATTTAAGTAATTTGAATTAAAATTAGATAAATAAGTAATAAAATGATTGATAAGAAGCACAACACCTTTTAAATCAAATTTGAAGTTCGAGTCCTTTTGAATTAAAAAAAATAAAAAAAATTCCTCGTCCGTAGAACTTCTTCTTTTGGCATTGGATTAGAACTAAATCCCAATCAAACAGAATTACTTCTAATGGGAAGATGCATGTGCTTATAAAGAAAAAAAATTACATCTCAATTAGTTAATTGTATCAGATATTGTTGATATGTTTGGGAAGAAAAAATCACTTCTAAAATTGTTTTTATTGTAGAGAGACACGGCTCAGACCAAAATACCAAACATGATACAACCCCAGGCTGGATCAACGCATTCGGCCCCATCAACAAGATCACCGACTTATAGTGACGGGCCTTTGCACTATTTCATCAATAAAATTAAGATTGTCAAATAATCAATAAGAGTTGGTCTAATACCAACGGGGGTTGGTTTAAGTGGTAAGCGGCTTGGTACCGCTTAAATGAGGTCTCAAGTTCGACCCTCAGCATATGCAGAAATTCCTGTTAGGAGACTCACCCACTACAGCCAGGTGTGTGATGTTGGTCAGATCCAGAAGTAGTCAGAGCATTAATTAATTGATTTTAGGATTCTTCATAAAAATTGAGATTTTGGATTAAAAATATAAATATTTTGTGATTTTAGCTTGAAATTAATATTTCCTATTTTTTGGAAACAATTCTCATATTTTTAGAAAGATTAATTTTTGAAAAGTTTTTCCAATTTCTTGCCTTATTTGGGGGTATATCTAATATTTAATTTTGATATGGATTATATCATATTTGAATATAATTTACATTTATTGATACACTTAAATTTTTATAGGTCATGAAAAAGCATATAAAAAATCTAATGATGCAAGATTATTTTTTAGAATTCTATCACAATCTAATGGTAATATCAAGTGAGTTAATTAATTGTTAATGAACTTAAGTTTTGGATAAAAAAATTCCTTCTTCCCCTATTAAATTAACCTAGCTCCCATCTCTCGGCAGCACAAATTTAGATTCATTGTTCTTATCTCCCTTAATCATCACGCCGCCACCGAATCCCCTCCACCATTCATTGTCAAGTCTCTTTCTTCATAACTATTCCATTATTCACGAGCACGCGCCAACATTAGTTTCATCTCTCATCCTATCAGCACATAATCATCACCTTCCATCAAATGATGGCGATGGCATCTAACAACTTTACAGCAGGAGGCGTTTTGATGGCAGCTTAAGGTACTTGGAAGGAGTATTGAGGAGGCTAGAGCCTTAGGCTAACATTCGGCGACCATAAGGAAGTATGGTTCATTTATCTTTTTAATTTATGACTTTGAGATTATTTAATTTTAAATAATTTGAGTTATGTTGCTTTGAGACAATTTAGTTTTAGATTGTTATTTTTATTCTTGGATTGGATTGATACTTGAATTATATTTGTCCTGAGATATTTGCTGGATTTTATATTTGTGAACCTTTACATTCTTAATTGAATTTATAATTGAGTTTTTATTATGAATTTAATTGTCAATGTGGTTTGAATTGCAAATTTGAGTTCTTCTGCCTCCTGCTTATTTAATTAAGTTGGTAAATTGTCTAATTGTTTAATTGGATAATTTTAAACATAACCTCCAAATTAATTTGAATAAATTGTTATTGGTTTTAATGATTTAATTAACTGGCCTTATACCATTATGAGTTCTCTAATAATTTAAGTATTTTTAAACTTGAGGGTTTTTCTTATTTCAAGTAGGTAAATAAACTTATTAATTCCATTCTTACTTAAAAAAACCCATAACTCGCTCTTTGGGAGTAATGACCTAGGTTGATCTTAAACTACAAATTATTTGGGACCTAATTTAATTGAGTACTTTAACGACAAAGGTATCATCGGTAGAAAATCTGTAAGTATCTTTGTAAGCGCTCTCTAAGCTTGGAGGCATGAATTGGCTCTGACGAGCTCCCAAAATCCAACTCACCTAAACTTTTTTCTACAAAAAAGGTGTGTCAAGTAGGATTGGCTCTACTAAAATAATACATGTGCCTAGTAAAAAAGAGTAAGAGAAGTACAAAAAAAATGCTGACATTTAATACATTATAATGTCTCAAATATGATAATTTTTAATAAGAAGATGTATTTGCACTGCTAAAAAAACATATTCCTTCTAAAAAAATATATTCATCTACCAAACATAATCTTTTCTTACAGCCTTAAAACATTATTTTTATTAAAAAAATTTAGTTCCTAAAACTCTTTATATCAAAGTTTTTACAGAAATAATAAATTTGTAAGTCTTATGTTATCAAAATACTACTTTCATCTAAGAATTTTTTTAAATGCTATTATATTTCTAAAAAATATATATCTTTTTTTAAAAGAAAAGGCGAAATGATATAATAAAATTAGAAAGAGTTAATATGATCTTTGGCCCCTGAAATTTGTCTTCATTTTGTTTTTAGTACCTTAAGTTTCAAACCATAAGTTTTGGTCCATCAAAGGGCAAAATGGTCTAAGTTTTTATTGAATTATAGATATCAATATTTTAACTGAAAAAACCTTAAGGGACCAAAATCTATGGTTTTAAACTTAAGAGACCAAAAACCAAAATAAGAGCAAACTTAAGAGGCCAAAAATTATAGGGTTAACATAATTTTTAGTCCTTTAAGTTTGTCCTTATTTTATTTTCAGTCCCTCAAGTTTCAAACCATAGATTTTGATCTCTCAAGGGATAAAATGGTCTAAACTTTTATTGAATTATAGGGACCAATTTTTAAATAAAAAGAAACTTGAGGGACCCAAACCTATAATTTGAAACTTGAGAGATCAAAACCAAAATGAAGGAAAACTTAAGAACCAAAGTTCATATTAACCCAAAATTGTATTAACCTAACTAGAAAGTAATTGAAGAAATTAATCTAAAATGAAGAACATTAAAATTGCAAAGAAGAGCTAGAATCTCCTGTCAAATAAGCTGCCTCCATGGTGAAAGAAACTTAATTAACCCAAATGATATTTAAATCAAGATGCTCTTCCAGCTTGCTTATATCAAAATTACGAATCCAAAACACAGAAGCTTTAAGGCAACTAGATAGGAATGGTAACCTAGGCTCAGTAGTATTTTTGGATAAAAATTACACATTGACAAAAATGCTTTCTTAAATGCTTGAACTTGCGGATGATGATGGTCTAATATGCTAGATGTCTCAAATCATCTTCAAAAATTAAAATAGGATTACAATGTGTCGGGATAAAGCATGATGGTTTTCTAAAAGCCATATAAGTCAAGGCAAGTGAGCCGTTAATTTTTCTTATCACCACCTGAGGATCATCAATCTTACCGTGGTGCAAAGCTTGGTTTCTTTTATGCCAGATAGTCCCCATTAAACACAAATAAAATGATTATTATGGTATAACTGCAAAAGAATGTCATTAACCGGCCCAAAGCTTTATGCCTTCAAAGTCCAAACCAGATATTCGTAAAGAAAAACATCCAAACTATAAGGCTCAGGTATATGGACAGTGAAAGAAAATATGGTCAAGGGAGTCATTGGTATCGCATCCAAACAAAGAGGAAATGTTAATAGGCAAATGATGCTTGTTAAGAACATCACTAGAAGGAAGCATACTGTGCAGCATTTTTCAAAAATGAAGAATGTATTTAAATGGCAAGGGGGATTTTCAAAATGAATATCCAAAAAGCATTATCATTGCAATTATCCAAAGAGTTAGAGCAGGTTAACTTTCTAGTTCCTTCTTTAATTGTATATATATCGGAGGCATTACCAGTCCAAGATAAATAATCAGGAAAATTCAGCATGGAGATAGGAATTTTAATAATTTTATCTTCTATGTGTGTGTGAATAGAATGATGAGATTAAGGCAGTATTCCAACACAAACAATTCTAAAAAGAAGGAACACGCATTAACAGATCGGCCACCATGCGGAAAAGACTCACTTGGGGTTGATCAAACTCGATGGTTGAGAGGAATCGAAGTAACATTTCCTACCTTCCAAGATAAATTGTCTAATATGAGATAAGTATTTTCAGCAATGCCTTTCCAAATTCAGGATGAATTATAAGGCAATTCAATGATCAAAGGAGAGTTCATATCAACATATTTAATCGTTAAAGTGCTAGCCAAAAGAGAGCGAGATTCAGCAATGAGAATCCTCCATATTTTTTTAGCTAGCAAAGCCCTGATTCATGACTTTTGTAGGTCTAAGCCCTAAGCCTCCTTTTTCTATAGGTTAAAAGAGAGCATTTTTATTTAGTAAGTGGAAACATAATGAGGAAGGCTTAAACAAGAAAGAACATGAATATTCATTGCTACTAAGACAGATTTAATTAGTGTGAATTGAGAAGCTTGTGAGAGGAGCCTAGTTTTCCAAGTAGTAGTTCTTCGCTCAATGGAAGTAATAACTTGATCATATAAGGTAGCTTTACTTTTACCAAGATCAACCCAAGTGCTAAGATACTTTCCCAAAGAAGATTCAAAATGAAACCCAAGAAA